GCAGAATAAAGGTGCTAGCGATACAGAAGAGAGCCTGCTTGGCTCTACTAATGAGCTATTAAGAGCAAGATAGGACTCAAGTCTCTCCCCCTCGGCCTCTTTTACAGCCAAAACACACTTTGTCTGGTAATGGGTGTATTAGCGGAATAAGAATGCACTGGTGTTAGTTGGGGGTGGTGAGTGGGATCTGTGTGTGATGTATGTTTTACCCTATTACAGTAATATAATTCAAGGTTTTTTTGTTGAAACATGGGGATTCCTTTTACTGTATTAGGAATGAGTAGCACCTAGGTTTGGTTGCTTTATTTTTTATATTAGCTCATTTTATTTAATGGGGCCAAAGACACTGACCAGTTAGTTTTGTGATTTAGTTTTACAAACCGATCAATTAGTAATTGGAGAAGCATATCGATACCATATCGGTTTAACAGTCAGTATTAGAGGTTTTTTTTATTTGCCAAAATTGATATTTAGTTGTGCATGATCATTTTTAATGATTACTTAAAGCAAATCTTTAAAACACTAATAATTTGATAACACTGTTAAATGCCACTTTTTGTATATAGTTCACTTACAACATTTCAATCTGATGTTTTGTGTTTTATTTAATTTACAATTTGTATTGTTATTTTATTTTATAATATTTTAAAGAAAATGTATTGTTATTTTATTTTAGAATATTTTCAGTAAAATAGTATAGAATTTAATTCATTATGCCGTTTATTGGTTTTCGCTGTAACGTTAAAACTAAAATAAATTGAAATAAAACAAATAGCAAAACTAAAACCTAATCTTACAGTTTGATTGGTTTATCAGTATAGGCCAGAATATTGATGCATATTGGTATGCATAATGTTTTGCTTTACTGTTAATCTGTTTTTGTCTGAATTATGATATTAAATAATTCTGAAATTTCATGAATGTTGAATTATAGGAGTCTGAATAATTTCAGGCATTCATACAGTAAACGCCCACAGAGACATTTTATGAAGCAGGTATTCCATATTTAACATGAAAGTGGTTATCAATAGTTCTGCCCTTTGCCATCATTGTTATACACACCTCTTTTGTTTTTCCAAAATTCACAGGAGGTTTGCAAAATCTTGGAGTTCTGATAGCTGCGTAACCCACATGCTGCATCGCTCACACTCAAAAGGAGCGGCACAAAATGTGCCTTTCCCATATTCAGGTATTGTCATGTCATGCCTTGTTTCTTATTTATCTATTGATATGTCTCACCATCTGTCTTTTTGTCTCTGTCTATGTGTGTTTCCGCCCATCTCGTCTTTGTCCCTCTTGTCTTTTGACGCTGAAGTGTTTTGTTGTCTCTAAATAAATGAGGTGGGTGAGTTTTGCCATTATGACACTGGGCTTTACTTACCCTCAGATGGGAGGCTTTACCAGCAGTAACACAATAGAGACAAACAGAAAGGAAGAGGAAACAGCACTCATTTTGTTCTGGGATCTTCACAGCTACTTCATTAGGGCATATCTGAATAACCTTCACACAGAAATATGTGGGGAAAAATGTATGAAAGCCCAAAAAATTCCATATTGAAAATATTAGCATTTCACAATGTTATGACTTCTTTTGTTAATGACAGAATGGCAAAACTGAAGGTCAGGATGTTAATTTCCAACACAAATCACTAAATTGTTGGGTCTAGTGAGGCCTTGGATGCTATCAATGCAGTTTGATTTCAGATAATGTGTCCCTGAGACCAATGAAAATCCAGTGAAATTTGTCTTTATACTGAACTATTTGCAATATTTATAGGTATCAAAAGGTTGATGAGTAATTTGCATGACTGCAGGGTCAAACATTTCCTGACATGTCAGGTTCAGTGGACCATGTACTTGCTCCAGGTTCGAGTCTGGTCCCATTCTCCTCCCACCACTACACTCTACTTTCTTATAAAAATAAAATAAAAATCACCCAAATAAACTAAAGTAAAAGCTTTTTGAGATCTTGTGAGCGCACGCGTCTGATGCTGCTAAAAGTAAGTTACTAATGTCGAAATTTAGGGTTAATTATTGTAACTGAAAATCATATTTAGGTCAAAACTGTCAGTTTGTGAACTAAATCTGTAAAGGGTGATCTATTTAAGTCCACTGAAATGATTGAATGCAGACACATCAACATCTGTGTCTCTATTTTAGGTATAAAAAAACCCCGAAACATTAAAATAACACAGACTAAATAAAATAATTCATGCGCGTTCATATTCCCCGCTGCCGTAACGTTAACAGTTTTATTAAAATGCTACGCATTTAGCCCTATGTGACATCTGTTTTTATATTGTTTATCAACAGTATAAATTTTTATATTGTTTGGATTAACTAGCCGAGTAGACAGATATGAATATTTATTCATAACCATACTGAAAATAAGTAAATATTGTTAGCTGATGCTAACTGTCTAGCTAACAAGCTTGCTGGTGCTAAGTTGAGGTAATTTTTAGATATAAAGTCCAAATATTTTTATTCAACCACCTAGATAGATTACATCTGGGGGAAAAGAATGGATGTGATGTTCAGAACATGGTAACTACAGTAATTATCAAAGTGGGAAGTGATGCCCTCTGGGGGCATTTGGCCAGGGGTGTTTTTACACCACAGAGGTTTGAGAAGAAAAAAATAATTATGAAAATCGAATATTTTCCTTAAAATGTTCTTCCTAACTTCAGGCCTTATTCTCATGTCATATACTGTATAACTGTGATGTTTTGCAAAACAACAAGCTTTAAAACACTTTTTTCATATTTTATTATACGTATCTGTACTTTTACTCAAGTACTTGATTTGTGTACTTCGTCCACCACTGTATATAGCCTACCTTTAGCTTGTCAGTGGGGCAGTACCCTCAAAGAGACAGCTCTGTGCCTTATCTACCCCTAAAGTATACTTGTACCTTAATTTACATTTACATTTAGTCATTTTGCAGACGCTTTTATCCAAAGCGACTTACAATTTGGGGATACATAAAGCGATTCTTCTTAAAGAGGCAAACAGACACAGGAAGT